CAACAGCTTCTCTATACAAACTTGACCTTAACAACCAACAATTAAAGACTAATTTAATTGATTTTTTTTGTGTTAATTGTTTACCTTTTCACTGGTGGTCATATTGATCACTCCAGAAGCTCCCTCCTTGACTGAAGAAACCTCCATCCTTTAACTGTTTTATTGTTCACTGTCTGAACAAAAGCATGACCTGAAAATATTGCTAAAAACACAAAATAAAACCCATCGTGTCAAATTTGTGACTTATAAGTGTTTAAACTCAGAAATCCTAAACTGTGATGACAGTAAAACATAAGTAAGTCAGACATACTTAAAAGTAAAACACATGATCATATATATTTTTTTAATTATTTAGGTTTTAATGTTAAGAAACAAGGATTAGTTGGGTCTAAGCTAGCCAACGCGCTAAACGCTATGCTAACCTAAACAGCGGCTTTAATTGTAATGCCTCACAACAACATATCGCTTAAAGTACTCTTTACCTTTATTTCCTGGCAACAAATATTATATCCGAGTCACAAACACGTTTATTTAGACGATTTATCTCATTCAGTGAGAAGAAAATCTCTGTTAGCGCGGAAAACATGAAGCTGCCATTTTTCTTCTTCTTCGTTGGTTTAATTGCGGCTGATCATCACGATCCTGTTGATTCTCACTACCGCCACCTATGTGACCGGTTGTAAACAGTTTTTTAAAAAAACTCAAATTTTGTTTTCTTTTGTCTACGTTTCAGTCTCTAATATATTCTAAAAAGTAGAAATGACAGCAAAAAGATTAAAATTTATATAAAACTAATGGTGAAAATTACGATGACCTTTTCGGACTTCACGTCCCAGAATCCTTTGCGCCCAAGCGATGTCAGCTGACAGAAGAGGAGAGTTTATGCTAATGTTTACAACCATTAAACTGGCAACAGTTTCCTTGTGACAGCCGTGATATATTCCACATCAGTGCGTGATATCAAGTAGCATTCAAATAATGTGAAACAAATAAATGACCGCTTTATTCAGTCGGGTAAGACAACGTTCATCTTATCAGATTCTTTAAAGAACGACGCTCGAGCTAACCTGTTAGCTCTTAGCTAGCTAGCGACTCTGTTTACATTAGCTGAACAAACGACACGGAGCTGTGAGCTAAATACTAAAGTTAAGGTTAATTTTAGCTGTTTTATGTATTYATTTTTTGACCTTCAGGTGGAGGTAACAGTTTGACAGAAGTTTACTATATTAGCTGTGGGTTTACAATTAGCAGAAGTCTTTTAAATGTATAATTATTGTCTTTTAAATTTCCTTTTATGCAGTGGTGAGCACAGTTCCCCTAAAACACTAAAGCACGGGCTAATTTTCTGATTAGTGCTTTAGGGCTTTTGCTAATTTCTTAATTTGTTAGTGGATTAGCACTTGCTAAGCACTAATTTAGTTCTTTAAATATTATTGATGAACATTATTGTCAACAGCTGAGGGTGGAAGCTGTCAGACCTGTTTGATGTGTTGTGTGTCTCTTCTCCACTGGATCAAACWTTTTTTTTTCTGAAATATCAGCTGCAGACTCTCCTAACTCCACATATTACTTGTTTATGTAGCAAACTTTACTGTAAGTCTGTTAAACATGGGAATAATAACTAAAACAAACCTAATAACTATGATACAGATTTTTTACAAATTTATGATTATTTAAAAAATGCAATAATCATGATGAAAATATTCATTAGCATTTTTTTTGTATTTAAATTGATGTCTGGAAGTCATCTGGGGACC